AAAAATCAAATTAGGCCACATAGGTAGGTAACAGTCTAACATAAGTAGGTAACAATATATATATATTGTTACCTACTACATCTACTACAAGTACTTTACCATCCAAGCATGTTGGGGATCCTACATCTACTAATAAGGCTACTGGTAAAAAACAGAAGGCAAATAAAGAAGATTCATTAAAACTGAAAAAACTTATCAATGAATTATTATCGATTGAAAAACTTCCGCAAATTATTGAGGTCGCAGAAGAGGGTGTTTCTGGAGGAGATGCCAATAATTATTTATATTTTTTCAATAAGATTGATTTTGCAGAATCTAAAAATATAATTACAAATCAAGAGGTTATTGGTAGTTATTTTGACTTTGGAGGGGTTTTATATAAACAATACAAGGATCTAAAAAAGGATAATGGTAAAGAAGCATCTAATGCTTTAGTTTTCGAGGAAGCTAGAAATCAAATTCCTAAAGAAGTGAGCAATGTTGCTCTACGGAAGAGAATGGAGAGAGTCCGAAAAATATATACCGTATTCTCCCGAATATAAGCAACACCCGAATATAAGCAACAGTAAGAATTTGCAACAAAAAACAGAAAAAATAGAAAAATAAATATAAGCAACACCTATATTTTTGAAAATTTTTTATTTGATTTCTTATTTTTATATAATAAATAAAAAAATAAGAAAATTTTTTTATTTTGATTATTCTTTTTCAGAATCACCAGACTCTTCCCCTTCTAATTCATCAGCTGAATCATCGTTTCTATCTAGTATTTCACATTCATCTTCCTCATCTTCATTTTCATCCCCATAAGCTTGTCCAAACAAATGATCTTCCGATCCATCAATTGCATTACTAATGCCACACTTTTTAAATGATTTCACAATCATTTCATTCGGAATTTCATCCCAAACCTCCAAAATCCATTTACAAATGACATTATGTTCAGGCTTTCTTAAATTTCCGTTTTTGGTATAGGTGAAATTACCTGAACTCATCCAAGTATTCCACTTTTCACGAAGTCTATCTTTAAATGGTTTGTTAATACAAACATCAAGTGGTTGAACAACAGAGGTAAGACCACCTGGAATGATTGCTAAATCAGTGTTTTCATTTTGTGCAATTTTTTTGATAGAATCTGTCTTGTGGCCTTCAAAGCTATCCATAACAAGTAAAGCTTTTTTTCTTGTAATTCTATTTCCGGGTCTTCTTTTCCAAACCTTATCAAACCAAGCTTTCATTCCAATTTCATCCATCCATCCTTTTGGGTGCATTAGTACAATGATTTGAGAAGGTAAATTCTTTGGCATTCGTTTACCTTTAAAAATGACAATTATTATTACAATGATTTGATGAGAAGGTAAATTCTTTGTAATTTAATTACCTTTGAAAATAACAATTGGTGGTAATTTTGTACCATCTGCAAGAATTGTAAGGACACATGTAAAACGGTTTTTATCATTTCCAGTTGTTCGAACTTGCACAGTTTTTGCACCACGTTTATCAATTGTTAAATTTCCAACCATATCAAAATAAACAGGAGTTTCATCCATATTTCCAATTTCTGAAAGTTCGTATTCAAATTGTTTTTGTTTTTTTATAATAAATTGTTGAAATTCGAGAAGTTTGATGTCAAGGTGAGCGGGAAGCTTCTGACCAATCTTTGTTTTACGTCTCATTGCAAAATCATACCTTCTAAGAAAGCGATAGAACCAACTTTCTGATGCAAGAAATTTTTCACTGGCACCTGGATAAATATTAGAAAATTGGTTTGCTAAAAGTTCTTTCATGTAAGTTTTAACAATTTTAGGAGTTACAGCAATTCCATCTTGCCGAAATTCAACAATCCATGCCTTTAATTCAGCTTCAGCCTCAGGATATTTTGCTTTTCTTCCTAAATTATTACCAATTCGTCTTCTCTTTTTTTGTTTTACTAAATCGAGTTCTTCCTCTTGTTTTTGCCAACGAGAAATCATTGAAGGATCAATAGTAAAATGACGCCCAGCTGATCTTAAACCATATTGTTTTGCATATTGCAAAACTTGGAGCTTTTCAGCAACAGAATATGAAGAACGTTTGACTTTTGGCATTGCGTGGGAAAAAAATGAATAAAACTTAACACAAATGATGAAATAAGGAAACATAATGTAACACAAACAAAATCTCCCGAATATAAGCAACACCTGCAGTTTTGTTGACTAAAATGTGTTAAAATGGTGTTGCTTATATTCAGGAGAATACGGTAAACTTTTTACTGCTATCGTTAATGGGGATGAGAAATTAGCAAAAGACAAAATAGCATTAATTAGATCTTTTTCAGCAAATAGCTTATCAAAATTAAGTCAAAGTGATATTGATTTTGTAATCGTCAAAGTTTTGAAAAAGGGGAAATAAAAGTGCGGTATGACTTACTGCGCCATGATACTGCGCCCTTGTGACCACGGGTCATAGACATTCATACAAAGGATAAAATGTTTCTCTACTACTACTATGATTTCTGATTTCCGCTTGATTAAACATAATTATCCAGATCATCTTTGATACTATCCTCGTTTATACTCCTATCTACTTTGGTAATGATTGCATTGCGTAAACATCAGAAGTCCCATTATACTTTAGGATGTGAGATTTAAGTCCTTCGTTTAGTCCATAACCTTGATCCTCTGCAAAGCTCTTTTTCAAGTATACTTGTCCCCAATGAATTAATTCCTTGACCGTTACTTCATCGTGAAAATCAGAAGGAATACCATGCATATATTTTACGGGATCTTTCTTAAATGCGGGTAAGTAATAGTAAGGAAGAAATTCAAATTTGATTTTTTTATAATCGATCAGATAATCTGTATGTTGTACGACATTTGAATTAGGCTGTGCAATGAAATTATTTTTAGAATTTCAATGTATACGAGACATGGAAGGTCATGGAAATTCTACATGCGTGATCTGATTGATAAACTATAAAACGACCATTTCCTACTAAAAAAAATCACTTCTCTTTTAATCTGTACAAACCGCATTACTTATTTTTATTCAAGTAATAAACAAACATGTCTGATACCCCCATTCTGTCAATCGAAGTAGTTAAGAAATGGAAACGAGCTAATGTTGTTGATTTTTTGAAAGAGAAAAAAGAAGAGTTAGAACTTGAAAATGAGGATATCCAGATAATTGATAACAATATGGTTAGTGATTGTGCCTTCCTAGAGTTAAGTCAAGAAGATCTTGAGAGATGGAAAATGCCAGGTGGACCAGCAAAAACCATAACAATATTGATTGAGAATATTAAAGGTGAAACGAGAGGTAAGTACCACAACTGCATTCGAATATACCAAACCTACACTGCCTCTCTTGCTGTCATTTCATTTTTTAACTTGTGCTTTCACTCGTCCACATATGTTATATGATATTTTAATATTACCTGCTTTGTTTCACAGGTCATGAACAAGAATGCAAAATTGGTAAGCTGGAAAGTATTTCAAAGGATATGTTACTGAAACTTTGTATCTCTAATGATCTGTTTCTACTATAGAGGATTCCTTGTATTTTTCGATTCTCAACATGCTCAAGACTAAACCTGAATTCATTCCATCCTGCTTGGATTTATTGAATTACCTTCAACAACCATTTGCCAAGCCGATCGAGGTTAACCCAACTTTGTATGATTTTTATTTGAGGTCGAAACTTCCTCTAGAGACTTTGAATCAATTTTTTGTGAGTTCAGATAAAGCATCCAGTAGATTGTGGACCGAATATATTGTACACATTGCCTGCCCTCCTGAGACCAGTGCCACCGAAGATTCATTCCATGGGTTTTGGGACGCACTTATTGTCAAACCTTTTAAAATTGGATGTCCAGACGGAATACACAATCGAAACATGTCTCGTCACTTCCACAAGGAAATATAGACCCGATCTTTCGTATTTGGTGTTTGATGCCTGTCTTGCGAGAGGGGAGGAAAAGGGACCTGAAACTAATGATGATCCAGCAATGGAACTAATCTTGAAATTAACATGGACGTATGGAAATTGTCCCTACATCTTTGGGTACTATGCAATTGCCACTAGGGTGACGTACTGCTATTTGTATCTCGAGGGAAACAGCATTGAACGGAAGGACTTGTTGACTTGTTTACTGGATAAAGTGGAGGGACGCATACAAGCCTTCAATATCGGAAGAAACATTGGTCGATTATTACACTTACTTCGCCAAACTGTGCCAGAGTATTTTCAGCGGGAATTTGTTGTTCTTCATCGAACGAGCGGTAAAGTGATTGAATTTATGCAAAATACAGTTGTGAAACGTTATCCTTCAGTGGATTCTGTCATGAACCTTAAGACCCTTTATGATGAAATGGCCAAGCATCAAGTTCCTTTCATTGATTCCCTCAATCACGTCAATATGGAGGAAGGATCAACTCCATTCATGATTTTTTTACCAAAGGGCATGATGTGTAAACCACGATCAAAGGAACAACTAATCAAAGCATTGTGTTGTGTTTTGACTGCCCTTAAGGTATCTATTATCTTTCATTTTATCCATTGTCTGCTATGTTGAAAACGTAGGTATTTTATAAACGAATATACATTCTCAGGCTCTCCACAAAATGAAAATCATGCATCGCGATCTCCGTTGGGATAACATGTTAAAGTCCATAGATCGAGACAGTTGGTTCATTATTGATTTCGATGACGCGTGCCATGTTCCTTCAAATATTCCTAACACACAATTAGCTAAAGAAAGTCATGCACCTGAGATTTTTGAATTCCATCACAATGAGAGTGTTGATATTTGGTCTGTCGGATATTTGATTCGGACGGCCTCTGTTGAGCTTCAAGAATTGGATGAATTGAAAGTTTATGCAAGAATGAACTTGATGGCAAAGGATAAAATTAATAGACCAACAGCCAAAGATGCTTTGCGGTGGCTTTGGAGCAAATATAGAGATGTTCTCAAAGATTTTTTGGAAGAGGAGGAAATGGAAGAATCATAATTCAGTTATTAATAAAAATGTTAAATAGCTACGCCTGTAATAATTTTCGGGGGATTAATTTTTTTAAATGCTTGAGTCATCCGCAAAATAATATAATGATTCAAATTCTGCCCAAATGGGTTGTTGGTTTAGATTATATGGCAGGATTGCATAATTTATTTTTAGCATTTTAATAAAAAAAATCTTTGCACATGACACTTGTGATAATTTTTGTGCGGTCCTGTTTACTTCGTCGAAAATTATTTCGTCGACAATCATTTCGTCGAAAGTTCATTTCGTCGAAAGTTCATTTCATCGAAAGTTCATTTCGTCGAAAGTTCATTTCGTCGAAAGTTCATTTCGTTGAAAGTTTGTTTTGTCGAAAATTATTTCGTCGACAATCACTTCGTCAACAATCACTTCGTCGACAATCACTTCGTCGACAATCATTTCGTCGAAAGTTCATTTCGTCGAAAGTTCGTTTTGCCAAAAGTTCATTTTGCCAAAAGTTCATTTTGCCAAAAGTTTATTTTGCCAAAAGTTCATTTCGTCGAAAATTATTTCGTTGACAGTTCATTTCGTCGAAAATTATTTCGTCGGCTTATGTATCGTACTAATGATAAATGAGGTGATGATAGTGATGGCAAC